TATTTATTTATATATATCTATATATATAGATATATATAAATAAATAAATAATGCTAATGTTGTTCTGTGTTTGCAGGTAACATGCCACGACAAACGTGTGTCATTTGTAGCCTGTTCTTAAATTTTGCCCCCACAAAACAGAATAAATGCCTCTTCAAAATAAAGTGCCATTTCTCTTCTTCTCTCCAGCTGATGCTGGTGTCGGTACTGAGCTGCCTGTTTGAGTCCCTCAGTCAGATCCTCAGGTATGTACTCTCATTGAGTCGTAAAATAAAAGTTAGTGAAAGCAAATTATTCTCACTAATGGCATTTTACATCTAAAAAATTACAACAACAAAAAACATTGACAAGAAATTCAATATCTTGCTCCTCTGATGTCGGACAGACTCGGTTAAGGTGCTGGAGTGACGATGACATTTTTCACTGACTTTTCTCCGACCACATGCACTAAGCATTCTCGTCATGTAACCTCATCATCAGTGCTAATATAATCCACACAAACGCTGCCATCCCTCCACCAGAGCCTCTCACGGGCACGAGGCTCCTTTTTAAAATACAGCAGTGTGTGTTTTACTCTGAAGGAAACCGTGATTTAATCTGAAAAATGAAAGCTGAATGATGACACAATGACACATAGTCCTCATTTTTAGATATGTACTGAACACTTCAGAATGCTGTGTATGTGTGTGTGTGTGTGTGTGTGTGTGTGCGCGCGCGCCATGCTGCACACCAGGATACCTCATTGTTGAACGCAACATGATCAGCCAAACCGCTGCAGGTGCGGTTGCTATGGGAACCGTGGCAGCAGTAATGCAGAGTGTGAGCGACAGAGACATAGACGGATTATATTATGGCCTGTTCATAGTGCTTTATTATTAGGAAATGCGTGTTGTCTCCTATTAAATTTGGCTGTACATTTTGATCATGATTTAGCCCAACATGATGCATGGGCTGTGATATTAAAGGAACAGTGGACATTTTGGGAAGAGTGAAATTAGAAGAATCATACCACCCTCGTGTCTTGGTGTTTGGCATGGAGGCGGAGCCAGAAGGCGATTAGCCTAGCTTAGCATAAAGACTGGTAGCATCTCCTTGTTTAACCTATACTTGAACAGAAATGGAAACATGTGGTACATTTGTGGTTTTACAGGGAAGTTACGAGTTGGATCTATTTTCAGCACTCTTTGTTTTCCCAAAGTGAAAGATCAGTAGAACCATCTGTGGGGAACTGATGAAGATATGTTTAAGCTAGCGTCAGGAAGTAACAAAAGGTCGCTTCTTTCCTAGAAGTAGCGACATTCATAAAAACACTACATGGAGTAAACCTTCAGTAAACTTAGCTTCTCTAACCTTAGCTTCTGGTGCCCATTGCCTTCTCATTAAAATGCATTTATTGTGAGCATGCAGGGGGGGGTAACTCAACTAGCATTAGCTTACTGCTACTAATAAACGGCGCGTAACAGAAAACTTTAACGTGTGTTTAAATTTAATTTGGATTAATGCCAGAACAAGTTCAGACTTTGCTGTAGTCTTGTTGTCGTCGTTAGGTTGCCAGGCAGCCAGCGGAGAGGCGGCACAGAAGGATAAACTATTCCTTCACAAGTAGATCCTCCAAATCCTGCTAAAACCCTCAAACCTTTGTAAAACAAGAGTTGTAGGTGTTTCTTTGACTTTTGGAGTCAGGCTAAACGTCTTTTCATGGGATTCGAGAGAAGAGAGTGAATAACCGCATTTCCCAAAATGTCAAACTGTTCCTTTAATTACACGTACAGACCGGGTGACATTGCCACAGTACGATGGACTGGATTGTTTGGGTTTTTTGCAGGAAAAATGTTGAGCGGAGGTGTTTACTGGACAACATGGAGGGAGTGTTCCTGATTGTGGACGAAATCATCGATGGCGGGTAAGAAATAAATAAGTCTCCAGCTGATCAACCTATTTCACTTTGAGTCAATGAACAGGACGTTCAGGCGAGGTCACATATGAACTACCTGTTTTCTCCTCGTGGTGATTCATCTGTCATTTTTAAGAGAAGTGTTTCGTCTACTGGACTGAGAGTACTCCCTGACCTACGTGTGCTGATGTGTGTTTTGTGCTCTTTTATGCCGTTGCCAGGGTGATTCTGGAGAGCGACCCCCAGCTGGTCCTACAGAAGGTCAACTACAGGGTAAGATGACTGTCCGTCATTCCCGACGACCAATCGCAGCAATTTGTTTATTGATTTTCATCATTGGAAAACCAATGTTCTGCTCTTGAGCAGCTGTTTGGCCTGTTCAGAATGAGAGCATTCAGACTCCCACAGCTCTCCTCGTCGGCTTCTTGCCCACTCTTACCCGCTTTACCTTTCTTTCTCTCCTTCTCCCTGTCTCTCTTCTTCCGATTGGTGTCAGCTAATGTCGGAGCCAGCCTATGGCTTCGTCCTGTTTGATTACATCACCGGTAACGTAGAGGGACAAACAGACAAGAGCCAGCTGCTGTAGGCAGACAGACAGAGGGGGAGAGAGAGAGATGAAGAGAAGGATTGTGAGGTAGAGAGAGCGCGAATGAATGAATGAATGAGAGTGAGATAGTGTCAGTGAAGGGACGGAGGAGGGATGGGCGAGACAGATGAGGTAAATGCATGGTGATGGAGCTTGCTGACTAACAGAGGCTTACAGAAAATCGGCATTTTTCTAGATTTGAAAACTTTGACCTGCTGGTGGTGCTGTATATTTACTGTATCCTCTGGGGACCAAAAAATGTCATATCACTCCACCCGATAGTTGTCCAGGTATTTTGATTTGGACCAAAGTGGTGGACTGACGATAAGAGTCCCTCTGCAGAGCTGCAGGCTCGAGGCCCACCTCCTCTGTACGATTCTTTTTGTTCTCAAGCTTGGAGACGGAGATTATGTCTGAAATAGTTTACGCCAGAGACGATCATCAGAACGCGATAGCGTCCGCTCAATAACACCAGGACAAAGAATACAACCATATTAATTTAATATAACATATACAGTTAGCTAACATACATTAAGCAGCCAATTACTTTTACTAACCTTATAAGTTCACCAACGTTATCTCGATATGCTAATGTTGTTAGCAAACTAACGTTAATTGAAATGGTTATGATGAACTTTTTTTCGCTGTATATGTCGGTAGTTTGCTAACGAGGTGAGTTTGCTAACAATGTTAGCACAGCTAGCTAACGTTAGCCTTCAACTATAAAGTTAGTACAAGTTATTTACCGCCTAAAGTTACATTACATAACTTTATAAGCAAAATTGTGTGGCATGGACAGGATACAGTGATACAAATATACGCTCAGTAGGCTACTTTATGTATTAACAACAAGCGCATTAAAACACTCGTGATCTTCCACCGAGCCTGGAGCTCCGCACGTGGACGCCATCGGGGGACAGATCACCACTGCCGGCCCTTGAGCCACTAACATGGCTATTAATGCTAATATGAGTTGTGATTGGCTGAGCTTTGAATGTCACTTATATACAGTATGTAATGGTATTTCCACTGATCCAATGATGTTTGCAGTGCTCTGTTTTGTGTGTGTGTGTGTGTGTGTGTGTGTGTGTGTGTGTGTGTGTTTGTGTGTATCAAGTAGTTAGCGTGACTTTTGCATTTTTCACTTATAAACACACTGATGTCATTTTGTTTGACAGGCGGATGAAAACCCATTGTCTGAACAAAGCGTGGCCCAGGTAACACACATGTACATGACACTGCACGTGTACACACACACACACACACACACGTACAGAGAGACACATATTGAAGACAGCAATACATTACGCAATCGCTTCTGTTCCCAGCAGCAAACAGAAGCAGAAATGGATTAAATAACAAACTTCACATTTCACAGAAACGTATACTTCGGGTGCTTTCACACCTCATCTGTTTGGTTTGTTTTTGGGCTGATGGGAAAGCTTTTAATAGAACCCTGGTGCAGACCAAACAACTGAACCAAGACCGCACAAAATGAAGCGAACCACAGGTGTGAAAGCACCCTTACAGATAACTACAGACCCACAGTTCTGCATGTCTACCTCCTCTCTGCTGCTCTCTGATTACCATTAGCTAATAACAGAGCTCATGGCAGGAAGCTGAGTGTTCTCTGCTAGCAGTTTGACATCCGTCTGCAAATTCACCAGGCTGCATGCTAACGCTTTAGCTCACCATGCATGTCCCTGTGGAGCAGCAGCTAGCTTTGCTTCAGCTCCACAGCACCGGGCAGCACTAATAAGGCTCAACTGTGAATGGATGAAGGGGTTGATGGATATTTACATGGATCAACAACAACCTCCAGAGCACTATAGCTCTTTAAACACTGGACTGATGTCAAACTGCATGGCGATCAGTGAACCCTCCTGCCACATGTATGTCAGTAGCATGCTCTAAGTTTTTCTTTATCTCTTGCTTGAACCCCGGCAGCACATAACAGAGAAGCTGGCGCTGACCACTAACGTAAGTCTCTACTAACTTCACAACCGCCCTGCACTCCACTCCACCGCTCATTACACCAGAGCATCATGGAGTCCATGCTGCAGCGCTCCACTGCTGTCCAAAGATCTGTAAAGAGATGTTTTAAAGGCCAGGGAAAATGATATAGAATTGCATTCCTTCCATATCTATATGTTCATGTGACACAAATCATCATATAAAAGCATAAAAAAAAATGAAAAGAAGTCATCCCCCTCTCCCCCCCAGAAACCCCAGTAAGACCAGTCAATCCACTCTGGTTCATGGGGGCAGACTTTATCGATTTATTATGATGTTTAATTAAAAAAAGCTACAAAGTCATAAAAAAGTAACAAAAGGCTACCCATAAATGCAGAGAAATGATATTACTATATTATACTACAACACTGTGTACAGCTGTTGTACAGTGAGTAGCACTAACCAGATGCAAGTGGCAGTAGAACTAATGTAACTGCGTTTCCCAGCATTCCACACTGAGTGTTACCTGAGCTCCGTGTACCCCCTGCTGTTAGAATGAGGAACTACAACCTCAGTGCTGGAACGAAGTTCTGCTTTGTGGTTGAGGGCTTCAGGACTACACCAGTAATGTCGATCATGGAGCTCTGTCATACATGTACATACACATGAGGCTCACAGCAATAGTTCAACATGGTATGAGTTTATAATACATAGTTCCAGTCAACATTTCAAAAACTATATTTAAATAATATTTAGGGCCCGAGCACCGACGTAGTCGGAGCGGAGGACCTATTGTTTTTCGAATGATGATTATTATTATTATTAGGGCCCGAGCACCGACGTAGTCGGAGCGGAGGACCTATTGTTTTTCGAATGTTTATTATTATTATTATTATTATTATTAGGGCCCGAGCACCGACGTAGTCGGAGTGGAGGACCTATTGTTTTTCGTATGTTTATTATTATTATTATTATTTTTAGGGTTTCGTCGCAAAAAGGAGGTGCTTGGGGTACTGGAAAACTCCTGAAATTTGGCACGCAAGCCAGAATTTGCGAAAATTGCAGTCTGATTGGGGTGTCCAACTGCGGTATGAAATATTGGCTCGATAGCGCCCCCTATTGAGTAGCCCCAACATTGGGTTTCACCTAGCTATATGAAATTTGGTAGATATGTGGAACGTGATGAGACGCACAAAAAATCCTCTTGGAGTTTTCCATTAAACCAAACAGGAAGTCGGCCATTTTGACTTTTATGACATTTTTTGACCATTTCAAGGCGTCATACTTCATCCAACGACGTGGATATGGTGTGATGGCCATTTTACATGGTTCGCCATCATCCATCAAGCTGTTGTAACTCGACTGTATTTTGTCAAAACTGTCCCAAACTTGACATGCTTGTTGACTGTCATGGCTTTAGGACTTCTGCATGCCAATATTAACTCATTGTCGCCACCTACTGATAAGCACGGACGTAAGCAGGATTCTATAATTACAGCGGCCCAAACTCTTAACTTATTGAAAGGGTTTGTGGGCACACCATGAGAAAAAGACTTCTCTGATCTAAATATGTGCAAACTAAGATGCTTGGAGAGCAAACGTTAGATAACAGTAGATTTTCAAACCATGTCAGTGGGCATTAGTATAAATGATCTGTCCAGAGCTTCTTCATGACAATCAGGTTAAACGTTATAATGAATACTTCACACAACAATCTAAAGTTACAGAAGAACTTAAAATTAAAACTGTTAAAATAAAGTGTTCAAGTAACAGCAAATGGCACTACTGTTTTGTTAACTTTCATGTAAGTCCAAATACAATCAGCAGGACACTGCAGGGAGTTGAACCCCATCCCAGTAAACTGACAGTCTGTTATGTTACAAACACTGAAGCACATTCACACACATTTATTTTCTTAATGATCTTTAAAGGCTTACATTTATGATTGTATCGGAGGTACACTCAAAACATTTTAGGCTTAAGACCTGGCAACATGATCTTGCTACGCTGCTGGTCGACGCAGGAAATATCATCTAACTCGTGCACGCAGTGTATGATGGTCACAGAAATGCACGGCCGTCAACAAGAGTTCTGCCAGTACCCTCAACGTGCGTGAAGTTGTGAGGGCCCGATCAATGCTGCTCGCAGCTTTAATTGAATATATTATTTTTAGTGCTGGGCAAGTTAACGCGTTAATTTCGCGTCAACGCATTCATTAATTAACGCCGACAATTATTTTATCGCGCGTTAACGCATTTTTTAAATTTATTATAATTTTTTTAATTTTTTTTAATTTTTTTTTTTTAATTGAAAGACAAGAGACAATACATATACATAACAACAAGAGGATGACAAGAACAGTGAGATAAAAGCCAGCAAACATCCTGTAGTCAGTAATTTTAGTGCACCTATATGCTGAAATTCACGGTAAACGCATTTAAACGGCACAGATCGGGAGCGAGCGAAGGACTTTGAAAGTTAGCGGAAAGATTAACTTGAGACAACATCCGGTTTCTTCAGACGAACATCCGGTTTTCAGAATAAGATGCCAACAAAGTATGAATTATATTCACATTAAGTATAAAACATGCTACCTGCATCTCGTGAACCAAATGTTATTGCCCTTTTGTTCATATAGCAGTACTTTTAAAATAAAAGTGCGCAATACACTACTTTTGAATTCATTATTGAACTTTGCCATAACAATGCGATTAATCGCGATTAATTGCAAAAAATCCATGCGATTAATCGAGATTAAATATTTTAATCGTTGCCCAGCACTAATTATCTTATTTAAAGGCATTTTAATAGTTCATTAAACCAGTATGTTACAGTTCTTATCCCTGTTCACTTTCAACACGGAGGAACTCCTCACAGTGCTCCGTCTGACATCTAGTGGGTGAACAGTGGTACTGCAACACTATACAAGTCCTCAGAGGTTTAAACAGACATCTACACATTTGTATCATAAAAAAATGTGTATTACGTTCGTTTTTAAGTGTTGTTTTTTTTTATTTTTTTTTATTTTATTTTTTTTAAAAGAAGTATTTCTCCACTTCTACCTTATCTTCTGTTTGCTACATCATGCTACATTCTATCTTCTTGGTTCTGTCTCTGTGTTCCCAGGTTCTGCAGTCAGCCAAGGAGCAGATCAAATGGTCCATACTGAAATGACTCGGACCAGACACATTTAGGATTGTCAAGAAAGCTTTAGTCCCAAAGAGTTTTAGTCCCAAAGGTTATTGTTTTATAGGAGAAGGCTTAAGGGAATGTCGTTACGAGCCTGCCATGCTGCTTCATGTAGCAGTTAAGCAGCCGGTAATCGGGTTATCTTTCTTGTGTGATGGCATTTTGTTACATTGTGTGTGACATGTAATTAAGTTATTTGCTTTGGGAGCGATGTCGGCTCATATTCATGCAGGTTTCTTGTTTAACCGGCCAAATGACATCAGGGAACAGAAGGAGATGTGGAGACTCGGGTCTCAAGTTATTAAGCACCAAGCTAATCAATGAGAATCCTGGACGCCTGATTAGTGATCACTGATCTATTGGTTGAGCAGGATCTACTCAAAGCACTTCATTTGGGATGTATTTCAGCTGTTTTGCATATTGCTGATGTGTACAATTTACACTGTTTTATAAATAAAGCCCCCCCCCTCCTCCAAAGCACTAAAAACTAAAAAAGTTACATGAAATGTTACATATGCTAATCATTTTTGAATCAATCTCAAGGATAATCTGGACAATAAGAATAGGCACGGATTATCAGATACACACACACACACACGGTATTTCTCAGTTTAATTAAGTGTATTGTTTGGACTGTGCTCCTTAAATAACACATTCAGCTGATTAAAAAAGAACGTAACGAGTGTGAGAGGGAATCTCACTGTCGGTATAAACAACATATTATCCTTTCAGTGGAATTCTCTCATGAAGTTAAATTAATATTTGTACATATAATTCATCTTAAAGGGACCTTGACGATTATAAAAAAGATTATATATGGGATAATGTCTATTTTCTGAGACTTCAAAATGTTAATAAATATTCAATATTTTCTTAGTTGAGAAGAAAAAAGAAGCCAAAGACATTTTGTTACATTTGGATGTTGAAACCTTTTGTCTGATGTTGTCTGTCTGTTTGTGACATTTAATGGAGAATAAAAGAATAATTTATTCTTTATGTATCGTTCTGTTGGTAGTGTTAACATTTTTTTTTTAAATTAATTTATGCTTAATCCAAAACACTAATGTCTAGAATACAATTTATTGTCCCCTTTGTGCGCCCATTATCCAATCAGGAGTCAGATCTACGACCCTGATGAATATCAATGAGCTCTACACACGCAGCTCAATGTCGTGGGCGTGGTCAGGGATGTTATTGGTAGAAACTATGCGACGTCAGGAGACACGTGCCTGTACTCCCCCAGCCAATGGTTCGTTCTGGTTTTCCTGCGGAGTAATGTGATTAGTTGGCTACAAATAAAGATTATTAAGGATCCGTTTGTCGAACTAAATACCTCACTATTAATGCATACATTATTTTGACTGACTCCGTAATAAAATAGAAGTAAGTCTCGAAATAATTCATTTAAAAGACCTATTGTTTCAATTGTACATTTCGATATTCTAACGGTAAAAATGAATAGTTCCAATCAACCCATTAACAGGTCAGCAGATAGCGTTGATTAAAGCCAGTGAGGCAGTCAAGGGAATGGTTTATGGATGCAGGATGTTTATTCATGATGCCTGATCACTTTCATAGAAATGTATCGTTTGCTTTTACAGCATGTGTGGTTTATTTCTGAGGCATGAGGCTCTTTATTCCATGTTCAGCGTGGATGTGGGAAGTTTAAGCCTACACATTTGGTAGAAAAATAAGTAATTAATGAATAAAGTATACAGTTGTGTGAAAAAGTGTTTGCCCCCTTCCTGATTTCTTATTTTTTTGCATGTTTGTCACACTTAAATGTTTCAGATCAAACAAATTTAAATATTAGACAACGATAACACAAGTAAACACAAAATGCAGTTTTTAAATGAAGGTTTTTATTATTAAGGGGGGGAAAAAAATCCAAACCTACATGGCCCTGTGTGAAAAAGTGATTACCCCCCTGTTAAAACATAAATTAACTGTGGTTTATCACATCTTTGGAAAGCTGAGTTCAATTTCTCTAGCCACACCCAGGCCTGATTACTGCCACACCTGTTCTCAATCAAGAAATCACTTAAATAGGACCTGCCTGACAAAGTGAGGTAGACCAAAAGATCCTGAAAAGCTAGACATGCTGCGATCCAAAGAAATTCAGGAACAAATGAGAAACAAAGTAATTGAGATCTATCGGTCTGGAAAAGGTTACAAAGCCATTTCTAAAGCTTTGGGACTCCAGCGAACCACAGTGAGAGCCATTATCCACAAATGGCGAAAACATGGAACAGTGGTGAACCTTCCCAGGAGTGGCCGGCCGACCAAAATTACCCCAAGAGCGCAGCGACGACTCATCCAAGAGGTCACAAAAGACCCCAGAACAACATCCGAAGAACTGCAGGCCTCACTTGCCTCAATTAAGGTCAGTGTTCATGACTCCACCATAAGAAAGAGACTGGGCAAAAATGGCCTGCATGGCAGAGTTCCAAGACGAAAACCACTGCTGAGCAAAAAGAACATAAAGGCTCGTCTCAGTTTTGCCAGAAAACATCTTGATGATCCCCAAGACTTTTAGGAAAATACTCTGTGGACTGACGAGACAAAAGTTGAACTTTTTGGAAGGTGTATGTCCCATTACATCTGGCGTAAAAGTAACACGGAATTTCAGAAAAGGAACATACCAACAGTAAAATATGGTGGTGGTAGTGTGATGGTCTGGGGCTGTTTTGCTGCTTCAGGACCTGGAAGACTTGCTGTGGTAAATGGAACCATGAATTCTGCTGTCTACCAAAAAATCCTGAAGGAGAATGTCCGGCCATCTGTTCGTGACCTCAAGCTGAAGCGCACTTGGGTTCTGCAGCAGGACAATGATCCAAAACACACCAGCAAGTCCACCTCTGAATGGCTTAAGAAAAACAAAATGAAGACTTTGGAGTGGCCTAGTCAAAGTCCCGACCTGAATCCGATTGAGATGCTGTGGCATGACCTTAAAAAGGCGGTTCATGCTCGAAAACCCTCCAATGTGGCTGAATTACAACAATTCTGCAAAGATGAGTGGGCCAAAATTCCTCTACAGCGCTGTAAAAGACTCATTGCCAGTTATCGCAAATGCTTGATTGCAGTTGTTGCTGCTAAGGGTGGCCCAACCAGTTATTAGCAATCACTTTTTCACACAGGGCAATCACTTTTTCACACAGGGCCATGTAAGTTTGGATTTTTTCCCCCCTTAATAATAAAAACCTTAATTTAAAAACTGCATTTTGTGTTTACTTGTGTTATCTTTGTCTAATATTTAAATTTGTTTGATGATCTGAAACATTTAAGTGTGACAAACATGCAAAAAAATAAGAAATTAGGAAGGGGGCAAACACTTTTTCACACAACTGTATATATCTAAGAGACTATACTGTCAGATGCATCTAAGACACTGGAGAGGTGTTGAGGAAAAGCCTTAAATATGAAAGGAAATAAGAGATAAACAAACATGATTTACGTTTGTGACGTTTGCTCAGACGTGTCCCCGATGTTGCTTCATTAATCTGAACAACTGGTAGAGCGTGAAACTTAATCTCCGGTCGTGGGTTCGAGCCCCACGATGGGCGGAGGTCTTTTGAAGGTCTCTTGTTGAACATGCAACATACCATGAAAGCATCACAAACCACCAATCACATCTCGTCTTTTTCATCTTTCTCTGACAATGGCCCATCTCCAAAATCCCTCCATCTTTCTCAACCAATCAGCGTTGACCATTTCCTCTTGCTTGTCTCCTCTCCGGGCGGCAAACGTTGCCCTCTGGTGGTGGGTTGTGATACTGGTAGAGTAGTAACTGCACTATTCTGCTGCACTCCATGGCAAATACAATTGACTCTGCTGTCCATCAGAAGCTAGAGGAAGCTGTCCTATTAATGCGAGAGATTTTATGATCTGATTGATTTTGCAAACTATGCTCCACTCCTCTATTTCCACATGTTTTTGGTAGAAAAGTACAAAATATACAGAAAATGTCAAACACTAAAACACTGCTCTGCTGGTAAAATAAGTAATAAAAAAGCTTCTGTCACGTAAAACAAACAAGCAAAAAAGTCACACTTTTTATATTTATAATATATACAGAAGGTTATTTCTGTTGTGCTTATTTTTCTTAAATACCAGACCACCTTTATGACATATATCAGTAGTGTTGTGTGTTGTTACCCAGGATCCTCTCCCTCCAATCTGTGTTGAACAAAGACATATCAAGGAGACAGAAAGAGACATACACAGACATTAAAACCCAGCCACCAGTGTGTTTTCCATTCCAAGCGTTTGTGACAAACTCAAATCCAGCTGGTCCGAGATGGTCTACAGCTCGACCACGGGTGGTGTGGCATCTACAAGCCGATGGGTGAAAGAGCGTGCCTCCACAGAGCTGTTGAAATTCATTCCCAGTCCTGAGGTGGCATGGTCTTCTTCTTCTTTCGTCTTCGCCAGGAGTCAGCCAGGCTCCGAACCACGCAGGGGGTCAGGAGCAGAGCGGGCAGAGGGACCGGCCACAGATGGAACAGCAGAGGACCTGAGGGGGATGCTGATCTGGTCTGGGTTGTTGTGCCACTGAATATTATACAGTATATGAATGTTTAAATAATAAATCAAATGATATAGCAATCAAAAGGAAACAATCTGGTATCTGTGGCTGTTGCAGGACTGTGATAAACCCGTCCAATCATTTCATTCTGCTCTGATGAAATGATTGGACGGCTACCTTCCTGTCTGCTGAACAATGGACTCCAGATGAAGAACTTGTTACCGCTATCCTACAGGTTGCATACAGCAGCATTTCACTGCAGTGGTCGAGCATTGATGAGATAAATCATGAGACTTTGAAATTTGGATGACACACACAGAACGGCCAACATTCGAGAATATACAAAGTATTTTTTGGAAGCAATGGCCACTTTGCCATTGAAAGTACACAGCCAGCTATAGAACAATGAACATAAAGTGTATTCATCTTCGTCCACGGTTACTCATGTGGCTAACGATCTCTGACAAATAGAAATGCCTGCTGGAAATAAGCCTATTATGGAAAAGTATATCTGCTTGTAGTAGGCGGGCTTTGGGTATTTCTCTAGAACAATAGTGGGTAATGCAAGTTTAGTTGGGTGGAGACTTCAGCCATGGATTAACATGAATAATATAAATGTGAGAGACACCCAGTGAATAGAAGATATTATATATAGAACTTTGAAAAAAAAAAAGAATGTCGCTTGTGTAGACAGTGATATTATGCAGACAATAGCTGTGCTTGTGCAGACCAGATTAGTTGTGCTTGTGGTCACAACTCTTCAAAGAGCCTTTGGGTTACCTTGGCAGTGAACAGCAGCCCCCAGGCAGAAGTGTGAGCTGTAGGTCTCCCTCATTAAAGGCCTCCCGTGTGCCGTTGTTGGAGTCCATCCTGACGACATCCTCGAGATTACAATCTGCTGGACGCTCCTGTGATATACACACATATATATATCTCAATGTTGTGTTCAAATTACTGTAATGGTGTACCGTCCAAATTGCACTTTAGATGCTAAACATTGTTTTTGAAACCTTCATGCCAACAAATACATTTGAAATCAATTGATCATACGAACAGAGAAATACTTAACATTACTAAAGTCGGTCTTTTATTGACATCTTCTCCCGTTTCCAGCCCATCACTTATTCTAATATAGCATACTACAGCACCTACAGTACTCTGCGGGTAAGCCAGAAAAGGCACCTGGGAGGGAAATGGAGCAAGCCTCAGCTGAGGGCCCAAGGATGGAGCAGGAAAGAGCTGACATTGGGGATGCAGCTCCGAGAACTTTCTCTTCATCCTTGCCTGGCCGACAGTGCTGCAGGTCGTACTGGTGAGCTGGGCAAGGTGGGTGCAGACGCTGGCGGCACATTAGCAGGCAGGGTGAGCTGCCAGAGACATGCGGCTAGGCAAGTCAAGCCCCTGCTTGACCATTTTATTGTCCTGCCTCTTCACCCTCTTATTGCGCCACTGCACCAGGGTGGTGTGGCGCCCGTCACCAGCTGCAGGGTGGTCTGTTGTAGGACTGTCCCACTGGCCAGAATGCGCTGCTCGATTCCCCTGTAGCCGCTGTGAGAACTGCTTTCATTTATTGGTCTGTCTTTATTATAAGTCATATGCAGTATGGCCTTTATTTATGCAATAAACTTAATTCTTATTTGTTGTTGTCGGGATGAGCCTGGAGGATCTGACAAAATGACCTGCCTGTTGATGGCAACAGTTCATTTGTATTTATTAAAGCACAATATAAATATAAACAATGTTCTTTATATAAAACCATAATCTCCTTCTCCTTCTTTAAATGTCGTTTTCAAAGCCACACAGGAGCCGGTTTCAGGAGATCTGCCATATTTTCAAGCTGGGCGACTTGATTTTGACCGTTAGGCAGATCCAATAAGGGTCATTTCACCATTTCATAAATTAAAGGGCTGCTGCTATGGACGACAGAATATGATTTAAATGAATAAATACAGGAATACATGCTTAAATTAATGTTTGAATACAGAAATAAATAAATAAAATGTGATAATCAAACAGGACATAAAGAAATAAATATCATATATTTATTTCTACATTTTTGTTCACCTACATTTATTCATTTATTTATGTGTCTGTACGCTAATGAGGTGGGAGGTCCTAACCTCTGTCTAAAGCAGGATTGGTTACAGGAGTGTGATCGCTTCTGGTCTACTACTTCTGCCTTGCACAGTAACGTTTATTCCTGTATTT